ACACTGATGCCTTTTAGATGAGGGGATGTGATTAAAGAGGAAGGGATCACATTATGTTGTGTGAAATTTTTTATTATGATTGTGTTGTATAATTTATCATTGATTACTAATTTTTATTTTTATATGACAGATAAATGGACGAGCTTAAAACAGGAGAGATCACCTAGTTATTATGAAGAGAGAGGGTTTAGAAGATTTTTTTATTCAGGGAATAGTGTAAGCAAAAATGCATACGAAAGATTTCTCAAAATTATCTATCACGTTCGTAATAGATTTTTCACTTATCATCCCGTGTAATAGATTTTATGATTTTTTGAGAAATCTCACATAATATCTTTTCATTTTCTTATAATATCTTTTCATTTTCTTATGATTAAGTGTACGAAAATATCATATTTCTTTGTAATCTATTGTCACCTAATAAATTTTTAGGTACCAAACAGCCCCTATGAGTTCTCCTTTTTTTATGGGCAAGAGGGAACGTTCACATTCTTGGTAAGAGATAAAAACATTGGGGTGAGATTAAGTTGAGGATGATTGTTGTAACGAGATCCAATAAATTACAGTAAAAGTGATTAAAGTGTAATAGAAAATGAGGGAAAGAAAATAACCCCATCATAGGTATTAAAGTTTAATGGAAAATCAGGGAAAGAAAACAACCCCCGCATAGGTCTTTTTCAGTCAATGATAAAAGTAATTTTCTCTCTTTGAGCCCAAAGGCTTGTAGCTATAGTATTAATCGAGTTTCAAAGTACATCGCTGGAGGAATCTTTTTCTATGACCGGATGGTCCGGTTATTTGGATCTGACCAAGTCCGGGCCACTCTAGGTCTGTCTAGACGCTAGGACCCAATCAGGTCTAGGTTACTTCCGGCCTTTTAGGTCCAAGTCCAACTAAACCGTGAGACCTCATGGGGCACATTTTCACCCGCCGACCTTTAGTTGTCAAGAGATAAGTTGGTCGGTGAGATGATGCGCTGAACTAGTCAGAAAACCCAATTTGTTTTTTGTTTTCTTCCTTTTTTTTTTTCTTGTGGATTAGTCAAAAGGGTTTTCTTTTCCATGTTAAGTAGTAACAAAATGATTGTTATATGAAATGATAAATTTTTGTAATGGGGCGGGCATGACTTTCTTCACGTGGCACTCTACTATTTAATGTTAGACATTCCAAACAAATATAAATTTTATTAAAGCTGGCATTTTCTATCGTTTCTTTTATTAAAAAACAAAAGCACGCATGACATAATATATTAACAAAAGTGAACGATGTATCTGAAATTCTATTATTTTGACAGAAAAACAAAAGAAAAGAAGAAGAAGAGAGTTTAAATTCTCACATAAAAAATAACATCCCACATTTCATATAAGACAATTATTTGATTTTCAGTTTTTTTTTTTTGGGGTAATTGTCATAGAGAAAGGGGAAATTACGAAAAAAAAAAATATACTTTCTATGTCAAAAAACCCAAAAAAAAAAAAATACGAAAACTACCCTCCCTCACTTTTACCTTACCCACACCTCTCTTTCCACCCACCAAAATAGGGGCTCAGGCACAAAGTGCGGTCTAGCTGTAACGCTCTGGCATAGTGTAAAGTACGATTTGGAAATAGGGCTCCAGTACTATGTAAAGTGTGGTCTGATAGTAGGGTTCGGACACTGTATAAAGTGGGGTTCGACAATTGAAAAAGGAGGTCCAGTAGTTGTAAAGGGTGGTCCGACAGTTGCAAACTGCAGTTGCGCAGTCGTAAAGCGCGGTCTGGCAGTTGCAAATAGTGATCCGACAGTTACAAAAGGCCGTCTGGCTCTTGTGCATTCCGACAATGTGATAGTACCTTTCGGTAATATACGGGTCCAAAAGTCAACGTCAAATCTGACCAAAATGATTTTTGTATGGGAAGCGCAATTCTATAAAAAAAAGAAAACTTTTTCTTGGGGGTATGTATATAAGAAAGTCCAAAATAATTTTTGTATATGGGAAGGGTATTTTCGTAAAAAAAAAAGAAACTTTTTTCCGTGGGAGTATTTGCATAGAAAGTTTTTTCTTGGGAAAAAAGTGAGAGAAAAAATTTGGTTGGGTGTAAGTTGTATAAAAAGTATAGGCTTCGAGTTATTTTGTAATTTATTTGTTTGAAAAATCGTCATTGACCACGTTTGCCTATGACGTAATGGCTAATACATAGACTTTGAGATGGGCAGACCGCCGGGATGACTCCTAATTTCAAAAGAACAACATTAATCTATACTTTATCGTCATCCTCCATCTGAAATGTCAATGTGAGAAGTTGATGCACGCGCTAAATGCGAAGTTCCCCATAAAGAGTCGAGATAAACGTCAGAGTAGATAAGAAAACTATAGGATTTTGTGCTTTTCTCGGAGTAAAATGCACATTTGATCCCTCAGGAAAAACCCAACAAAGGAACAATTTTATTACCTGAATATTTATTATGTAAAGTAATCAACCCAGCTTAACGCGTTAAAAAAAACAAAAACAAAAACAAAAACAAAAAGAAGAGAGAGAGAAATTTGTAAAAAAATGTACTTAAAAGTTGAAC